ACCATTTCAGTAAGGAGATTCTTTAGCCATAATAACTCAAATACATTGAGACATTGTCCTATATTCTACTAAATTACTTTATTAAGCGACTACAAACTGTTTTTTACTCCTCCATAAACTACATTACCACAAACTTCTTATCTAGAGTAACTTTCATCTCTACCGAAAGACAAATTGTAGGAACTGAAACAACACAAGTACATGACATACCTATCAAGTGATTAAAAGCACGGAGTCAATAAACCAAGACATGGGTGTAAAAACATGACAAGCAATACAATTACCCGACTCAGCAAAGGCTATAAATGGACCACTAGGCTCAAAGAAAGTAGACAAGCAATACAACCAAGCCAGGAGGCAGACACAACCTAGTGGCAATATGGGCACTATTTTTCTTCATCCCCTTGAACTTACCTGGTATTAAGTCAAGATGAAGCTTCCAAACCTATCTCTTGTGTGTTTCGGCTTCTTGCAGTAGTTAGACACATCTTCTCCCCCTGCCACCTAAGCCCCTTTAGAAGTGGCACTTATTTTAGGTTTAGCAGACACAACCTTAGCCTTGGGCTCAATTGTAGGTATATGAATCATAGCTTCTCTACAGCTCTCTTCCCCTTGGACCAAGGAATATGCAGCAGAGTAATAACATTATAACTCAAGATGTACTATTGTATGAAGTCACAATCAGAGTTCAGCCCAGACAAAAACTCAAATACTCTAAGATTCCCCACATGCTTCCTATGCTACTTTTCATCAAATGAGTCCCACCACTCTAGTGCCTCCAAAGAGGCCTGTCAATGATACATGAAAATCCGAGGCCCGATCCTATATCCAATCTGATTATCTCAGATTCGGATGATGTATTTATGTAATAGGATCATATTCGGATTCTGCAATCTACGTCCGATTAATAATCGGACCGGATTCGAATTTGACTCCATCTGATCTGACTAAAACCTGAATCCGATTATATTATAATATTTATTGATTTTAATTTATATATTTTATATAATTATATTTAAAATTATAAAAAAATATATTTTTATATTTTATAATATTATATATGAATCTATAAATATAATAAATTCTGTATGTATATTACATTAATTTATTATATATAAAAGTTGAAAAGTAAGTAAATTTTTTACTTTTTTATATTTTCGAAAAAATTAAAGCAGAATTGGATTAAATCCGAATCCGATCCGAGTCCATTAGGATTCGAATTCGAATCCAAGGTCTTTAAATCCAATCAGATTTCAGATCGGATTCGGATGCAAACTTTCCATAATCGAACCAGAGTCAGATTTGCTGAATCCAATCTGATTACAACCTACCTCCAAATGATCCATTGCTTCCCATAATGGCTGAAGAAAAGAAAACTACAAAGCAACAGATTTCTCCCCCTGTCTAAGATTAGTAGCTTCTCTACACAACTGGTAGACCCTAGCAGTGTTCTGAACTTGGCAATATGTAGCCAAAACCCTATCCCAAATGTCTTTATCCATCAAAAGAATATGTAGTTCCTTGCTATATGTGGCTGCATAGAACTAACCAACCACAACATGACCATAAAGTTTTCTTGTTCCCATTGAGAATAATTAGAGCCATCAGTTAAGGGTTTTTTTTTCAGCCTAGTTACTCAGGTATCCCATCTTTCCACAACCTCCAATACATATCTTCATAAATTGAAAGCATTCCAGGAAATTGCTACCATCAAGTTTCACCGTCATAATCTGGATATTTGGCTGTTATTGGTTCCCATAAAATATCCAGTTGTTCCCTTCGATCCCTCTTTACTTGTCATGAGTACAACAACTACCATCCACCTAGCACACACGGAGAAGCACAAAAGAAACTACTTCACACCAACACAGCATATAAGATGTTACTCAGATCAAATACACCTCAGAAAAAAACCTTTCAAATACTATATGATTTCCAATATATAACAGCAGAAAAGGATAAATAGTGCTGAAAAGTAAATTATAGAATAGAAGAAATAGTACTGCAATCTCAAATCAGGTCCAAAGCAAATGAAACCAAATCTGGGGCATAGAATAGAAAAGGATAAACAGTGCTGAACGGTAAATTATAGAATAGAAAAAATAGTACTGCAATCTCAAATCAGGTCCAAAGCAAATTAAACCAAATCTGGGGCATCCACAAATATCATACAGTTCCAACAGTACAAGGCACAACCCCAAAACACTCTCACAAGCAGCAGAACCTACCTCATTTTGTTCAAATTTTTTCAGAAAAAAATCCAAAAAAATATCTAAACCTCCATTAACAAGTATAAAACCCTTATCGAAATACATCTATAACCATACCTCATCAAACTCTAGGGTTTCCATGGATTGGAGAAAATGAGCTGACCATATGGTTTGCTGACATCAACAGTTGGTGGTGATGAAGTCAGCATCCAAGCATGAAGACAGTGATCTGTCCCTTATCTACATGGTGTTCTAATACCAACTTGTCAATAAAAGAACTTTAGAAGAGAAGAGAAAGAAGAAGAAAGGAAGAAAAGAAGAAGAAGAGAAAGGACAAAAAGAAGAAAAAAGAGGCAAAAAGTATTGGCTGGGCACCTCGCCCAAACGCCTTGACTTTTAGCAACTAGGAGCCCTTCTAGGCGACTAGGCACCCGCCTAGGCGACAAAAATGACAAGGCGGGTGCCTTTTATAATATCATTTATATTGTTGTATCTTATTACTGTATGTGTTAATACATTTTATTATATGCTACATATATCAATTATACTTTGTTTTAATGTTTGACTATTGAAATTTAAAAGATCAAAGGGTTTTGAGAAGAGAAAAAGAAAGAAAAGAAATAATAGAATAATAAAGTTATTTTTTCTATTCTCTCTCTCTCTCTCTAATTAAAAAAAACAGAAACTCCATCCTTGTTTTTTTTTCTATTTTACTTTCCGTCTTGAATATTTATCATATAAAGTTGATACCATCTTTAGCTGCTAATTAATATGAATTTTCTCTATTAAATACTTGTTATAGTAGTATTATTTTTGAAATTAATATATGTAAAAGATTTTTATCTTTTAGATGTGATGATTTGCCACATTTTTAGAGGAAATTAATGTTCTTAATAAAGAGAATTGCTATTTTTTCAATTAACATACATGCTATGGTATATAAAACTAGGAAACTAGCCAAAAGTCAGATTTTTATATTATAAAATTTTTATCGCCTAGGCGACTAGGTGCCCCAGTGTCACACAGAATCGCCTAGACGCCTTGAAAACTATGATTGAGCATGGCCCTTTCATTGGTATTTATACTAATGCATGATATTTACAGTTCTCTCTATTAGTATAAAATAAGAGTAGACAAAAATGCCCTTAGATAGGTGCCTCGTAAAAAGACCTTTACACTGTTATAAAAAAGTAAAAACCCCAATCACAAAGCAATGACTCAACAACTGCTTCTCCATAGAGCTACACAACCACCAAGAGGCATGAGCAACATGTTTTTGTTTTTTTTTTTTGACAAGCAAAAGGAAAAAAAATTATTAAAGAAAAAGAAGTGCTTGATACAGCCACCATTGGTACCAAGATAGTACCAGCCACATAGCACACCACAAAACAAACATCAACCAAACAGACAATACAAAACACAAGAAAACATGATCACCAAGAGTAGCAAAACTAGTCTAGGACCAGGACTATTGTAGACAGGATTAGTTCTTTAACAGATCTGCCACGTCTATCCCTGCAACAACCTCAGTTAGATACCTCCCCCCCTTCATGACTCAACTTCAATATCAGATTGAAGTAGTGACAATGTTCTATCTCACATTACTGATTACTGGTGAAAAAAATGTTCTATCCTCGCAAACACAAGGGGAACCTTCCTAATCCAAACGGGAATGTCCATTCCTCCATGACAACCATTGCCAGACTAAGAATCCCTCTCTTCCAACATGAAAAAATTCTTAACAGCTCTTTTTTTTTTGATAAATGAAAATACTTAACAGCTCTTTGATGGCCCCCAAGAAAGAAGGCACCCAGTTTTCCAACTTAACTCTACAGATGTTTCAGATGTCTCTAAAACTGAGTTGTTTTCAATTTTGATTACTTTGTCCTAAACTGTCTCCTCATCCAAGGACCTATCATCTTCTGAGGCCACCACTTCATATTCACTATACATTTCAACCTCTCACCAGGAAACCCTCAAATCACTCAGAGAAGTGACATCCTCTTACAAATGCTGTCACACCTCTCCACTCACCCAATTCTGATCATAACCTTCAATTTGCCACCTCTGTCTGTATATAACAAAATGGAATTATCCAACTACCAAAAATTTCTCACAACCAGGTCCAACTGAGCCTTGTCTTTGATTCACTATCACCAGTTTACTGTTATGAAAATAAAAAATGCAATCATCACCATCACCTAAGCCTTGTCCCAACTATATGGAGTTAGCTACATAATTCCTGTTTTGCCATTCAGTTCTATTCAGTGCCATATTCATCATTAAACTATGGGCGCTTAAATTATTTCTTATTACTTCCACCCAAGTCCTTTAAGATATGCCCCTAGCTCTTCTAGCCCTTTCAACTTGTAGCACATCATTTTTTCTAACAGCTGCTGTAGATGATCTTCTAAAAACAAGAAAACAAATAAAAATATTTTTTGAATTTAATTAAATAATATAAAAACCACTCAGAAAGTTATGTGGGAAAATAAATTATCATATTGTTCACAAGAAGAATTTCACGTATAAGACCAAACAGTTTCTGCAGAAAACTTCAAGCGAACAATACCTACTAGCAATCACTATTAGATAAAATCCAATGGATACAAAAGCTACTTTCAGTGGCAATCATTAAATTTATCAGAGCTGGCAGAGCTAAGTTCTTTCTATTTACATATTCAAGGATCTTTCAAATCTAGCTCCATTTACAAATCTATTTTCAACGATAGAGAAAAACAGAAAGCAAATCTGAATTTAAGAACGATAAATCGAAAGATAGTAACGTACAGATTGGCAGAAGGTCCTTTGTTGCAACAAATTCTGGCCAAGAGGGATGCAATCACACCGGCAACAATGAAAATTAAGGTAGTTATCAAGAAGCCCATGTCAATTCGATCTCACCGCAACCAAGCAGAAATTTTCTGAGACGAAAATATGAATTTGAAGCTTGTCAATGAATCTGGGAATTAACGGAAAGAGAATTGGAAGAAAAACAAAAACTAGATCCCTGATCTGCATATTCAAGAATTACATAAATGTTTTAACAAATACTTGATTACATTACGATTTAGGGGCGAATGCAGACCCTAATTGGCCAATGAAATGAACAGAAACCTTAGCCTTGGAAAAGACACAGGAGACTTGATAAAGAGAGGATAAGAGATTGAGAATTAACCTCAGGTGATCTGCTCTGATTTTCTGGAAATTCCGAGCTACTCGTCTCTCTCTCTCTCTCTCTCTCTCTCTCTCTCTCTCTCTCCAGTTCAATCGTGCAGTTACAGAACTCACCCGGTTTGCTTAAAACGCCGAGTTCAATCGTGGGCCAACCGGATTTTACAATTATCAGACCATCATTCCAAAACTGGGATGGTATTGATTCTAATGATCCGTATATGAAAAATACGTTTATAATAGAAAAACACATATAAATTTTATAAATATATTAATAATGCTAAATTTAATATTAAATACCCACAAATAATGTATATATACATAAAAATATATATTTTAATGATATAAATGAAAAAATATATTATAATTAATATAGAGAGATACATAAATATCATACAATTTTATTGATAATGCATCAATCAAGAGTCCAAGACACATGACATATGCACATATTATATTTTAATTATTATATTAATTATTTTCTATTTTACTATTTTTTACATTAATTATATCTTAATTATTTTTATATACATACATATATATACGAATTTTTAATTGCTAATATAATTATTGCAATATTAATATTTTGTTTCTATAATTTTTCTAAAATTAAAAACCATTTTTGGTATAAATATTGATTAGTAGAGTTGATAGATTCTATTTATTATTATATTCTCAAATGTTTTGTAAACATTTTTATTTTTGTAAATCATAGGTTTTTTCTTCAACAATATCAGATACATTTTCAAAAAAAATAACAAGGTTTTAAAAACTGACCCAGAACCAGAACCGTTCTAGCCACCATTTTCCAGGTCCATGGTGCAACGTCCGATTCGAATGAACAGCTCATTCCAACATAAAAAATAAAATAATTAAAATAAAAAATGACCAAAACAATTGAATGGGTCGAATAGGTCAACAGTTTGATTGCCTGGGGTAGCGGGTTGCTGACCAATTCAATGATTTTTTGCCAGGGATCGGGTTTAAGGCAAACGGAACCAGTTGCCTAGACAGTTCCCGGGCCGAACGATTTGACTATCCGGCTCAATGACGGTTTGAAACACCAAAAAAAAAAGCAAAACAGTGAGTGGGAGAGGTTTTGCTTGTTTTTTTCTAGACTAAAATGCCACCAAGTAAAAGATTAACCCATGGGACCCATTTTTCTTTCATCTTCCTCCTCTCGTTGCCCACCAGTCTTAGGCTCTTAGCATGTACATCTCTCTCTCTCTCTCTAAACATACAACATGAGTGGCAAAAAAAATATCCATTTAAAGTTGTAGAGAAAGAAAAAATCAAATGTAATGTGATGGTAACAACCAATAGGAAAGAAGATGGTCACACTAAGGAATGGCAATGTATGGAATCTTGGTGATTGGTTATCGAAGGGCCATGTGATGAAGAGATTCAAGTTAGAAAGTATTTGCAAACCAAACAGGATGGTTTTCGATGAGACAACTTGGTTGTCAAGCACTTATAAGAGTATATCTTCAGGTATGACAATTAGCACTTAAGGAGATGGTGGAGATTGTTCTTTTAGGTTTCTTCATGGTCAAGATAGAGATTGGTCCGCTTAGACAAGGAGCTTAGGTAGGAACGAACAAGATAACACAAAGACATCAACATAGCTCTATTTTGTTTGTACCAAAATGTGTATCCAATAGAGATGACAAGCAAATGTTGTAATCTTAGGAGCCCATTTATGATATTAAATGATTTTGTGTTATGGCCCTTATGGGCAGCAACCATGGATCTGATGATAGGTCTAAATCATGGTTCAGCTTGCTCACAAGGGTATTGTAATGCATGAAGTACAAAATTACTATGAACGTGTAAGAGGTTAGAATAGTAAATGCAAGGTTAGAATGACTTATCGGCTAAGGTGTGTCTAAAACACTGTCCTTAAGCAAAATTTCACCTCCTCTAGGTTAAATTCAATGCAACTTAGGAAGTCTGGTATTCTGCTCTAGGATTCAACTGCCTTGGAAGGAACTCAGTAATTGCGCACTTGAAATAATGAGTCACACGAATAGTAGCAATCTCACAACTCGGCAATGGAATGTAGATATGTGATGCGGGAATGAATGGATGAATGCAATGACTCATTTGTGCATGGGTATAAATAGACTCATCACTATATATCTATATACTATATATAAAAGTGGGAATGCAAAATGAAAGTTTTTTTGGACTAAAATTACCCCCTATTTCATTATTAGAGAAAGGGTATAAAAGTTATTTTATTGTAGTTTAATGTCAAATTTATTGATTATTAAAATGCTCATATTTGTCTATTTAGTGCATCTCTAATTGTAAAAGTTGAAAATCTAACTTCAATTATTACATTCCATCTCATTTAATCCTCTTTCATTAAGTTTTATAACTTAAAGTATTAACTCTCATTTTCTCTTATTAAATCCTATAATAAGTTATTTTTCACTAATAAATGATACTAATTAGATCTATACCAATATTTTTAACAATATAAATCTATATATTTTAAAACTAACATAATAACAAAACCATTCTTTATCAAAGTGGTGGGTAAGAAACATCCACCTTAGTAGTAGTGCTTTCACAATGACTAGTTTGGTAGTCGGCATGAGCACATTAGCAAGTTTAAGGATTACCCAGACCTCTTCATATTAAATGGGGACATCAAAGTATGGGAGTTCTCTAAATTACTTAGTAGCCCCAACCCACTCTTGGTTTATCAACCTCACACAACAAGCAACATTGACACTTAGGAGGAATTGGTTGAGAAGTTTGTTACCAAGTGGTTTACCTTGAAATGACTTGTGACTATGGCCGATCTTAGAAATTTGGTGCAAAGGTTTAAAGAAAAACTACTTGATTATTTGTTGCAATTTAGAAATGCCATGTACATCCAACATGATAGCATGTGATGAAGAAGGATCTAGTTGAACAATGCATCAAGGGATGCAACCTTGGTATCACATCACTTTAAAAATCTAGAGCCACATAGTTTATCACAACTATGGAAGTGCCATTGAGTGCATAAGTATGACAGATAGGAGACCACAACCACGCTAGAATTGGCCTCCCTAGCAATAGCAGCAAAGTAGTTGACATCCCAACACTAAGAAATTTATGTAATTGACAAGCATCAGCACAGTAGCATTGAAACCCCATGAGAACCATACACTCAACATAGAGATGATGACCCACAACCTCCCCCTCCCCTTCCCTTTGGTTATAATAAGAGTGAAGTGATCTTAATAATGAATACACTTGTAGAGGGTAGAGCAATTGACTTTCCCCTACCCCCATGCCATATAAATTCGGACAAGGACCACTATGGGATAAGGTGATGTGAGTTCCATTAGTTTACTACACAATATGATGGAATGCTTTAGATAAAAAAGAATCTTTGTAATGGAAGTCAAATTGGAAGAGTTCTTTCACCGCCAACCAGCAAGAGTGGAGAACACCCTCTCCCCGACCATCGACAAGGAGGAAGTATCAATGTGGCAAGTTTTGTCAATTATATTTCAACCTCACTAGGTACCTTGTCCTTGCGATTTTAATAGAGTGGGGAGTTATAGTAGCTCTTCAACAAGAATGGCATTGACGATATAGTACAAGCCACATCAATAAGAGTGTTGGTAGACATCTTCAGGAGCCCATCTTGCCCTTGTAACAATAGCAATGGCACAATTGAATTTACAATTTATGACTTGATTGGTAGAAGACCCGAACCACAATAAACCACTATACATAACAAACAAGGTTAAGGGTTTTGAGATGCATGCAATGGGCTTTACTAGACCAGGGTGAGTTTTGCAAATCTTATCTCCATCCACACCCCATGACTAATGGGCTTGATAGACAATTTAGTGATTGGCTTACCCATGGAAGTGGTGGACTTCAATGACAACATCTCAACTACCAAGGGATCGATTGTATTATCTCTTACTCTCATATTGTTCTTCATGAACTAGGAGTTCCAAGTGGTTTAAGGGTGTACATCATATCACGTCTTTTATGGCAGGCTGTTAATTCATAAACTATGACTTGTACCCTCCACTTACTGCCAATGCATCAAAGCAAGACACTACAAGTGGGTGGTAAGAATTCCAGCAACAAGGGTGTTGTTCAAAAAGCCCAATGTGCATCTACATGATTCTATCTAATAGATGGAACTCAATGAGGATAGAGAGGCTAGAATTGTTCAATTCAATGGGTCATGCTTTCAAGTTGTGATGAGAGAATTAGAGAGATGATCCCTGTGCTTAAGTAAAAGAAAAGGCAAAGGTGCATTAAAATAATAGATGACAGTGGTTGGTCCTACTACACCTTAATGGAGGAAAGAGGAGAGTCAACCTGACGAGCAAAAGAAATTGAACGTCTTCATGAGGTTATAATGTGTATCCATAAAAAAAATTTCATTTTGATACATATATTTTCAATTAGAAAACAACTCACTGCAATTAAAGCAAATCATATCTTGTTCAATATTACATTTAGTAATTATCCATTGCATCAATTACCTATCAAATCACATATAGAACTTTTGCACTAATACATGTTTGCTAATTCAGTTGCACCCTTGTGCACGTACGAGTACAGAACATAAACCTCAAAATAGTACAAAACCACAAATGATATTACACATTAATTAGGTACATTGGACAACTTTAAAACTTATCATAACCACAAAACCTTCCAAGTTCCAACATAAGCCTTAATCATATATACAATGTGTACATTAAATCAAATCTAAATCTAATGATTTAATCGAATAATATGACAAAGTAGAACCCTTCCCCAAATAGTCGAAAGATTCAAATAGCATTATAGAGGAACCCTCAAAAGAGATTGACATTGTAGAAGGGGAGGGTGAGAAGCATCCATTATTCATTTTCACTACGCCGCAAGGGCAATACACAACCTGGTAGAACTACTAAAAGGTAGACCACATTTTACTGTGCTCCTTCTCCTCCATACTCACCTCACTAAACTTAGAGATTTTTTCAT